GGAAGTTTGCTTTCTTACTTGTCTCTCTGTTCAACTTCAGAAACAAAAAAAATGAATGAATGAATGAATGAATGAATGAATGAATGAATGAATAAATAAATAAATAAATAAATAAATGTAATGACAATGAATAAGTAAAAGAACGCTAAAAAACAAACAAACAAACAAACAAACAAACAAACAAACAAAGAAAACCTGGCAGTGGCTTGCTTTCTCACTCTCAGAAATGGGAGAATAATGATAATAAATAACAAGGAAAATAAATAGGACAATAAAAATGTAATCTGATGTCAAAATGACGTAGGGGATGACGGGGTGGTGGGGGGCGGGGGGGGGGGGGCGGCACGCAGGGGTCAGGTAGTATGGTGGTCAAGGTGCTGGACTCCCTCCCACATGGCTGACCGTAGTTTGAGTCCTGGACCTCCCAGTGGCTTGCTTTCTCGCTTTCCCTCCTTCTCTCTCTGTCTCTCTCTGGTAATAACACACACACACACACACACACACACACACACACGCACGCACACGCACGCACACCCCACAACCAAAAACACTAGCAATAATAAATACAGTAAAACAATGCATAAATAAAAATTAGGGTCTGGGCCCAAAATGGAATCACAAAAGGGTTCAGCTCTGAAGCCAAAGAGCAAACACCATGGCGAAGGCCGGGGACGAGGGCGGCGGCAGCGGGAAGAAAAGCTTGAAACGAAAAGCTGCTACCGAAGAACCTCAGGAAGCGACAGCCGCTGGGGATGGGGCGACGGAAGGCAGGGTCCAGCCCCCGAAAGGGACTGCTTTCCCCCCAGGCTTCAGCATTTCAGAGATTAAGAACAAACAGCGACGACACTTAATGTTCACGCAGTGGAAACAGCAGCAGCGGAAGGAAAAGTTGGCAGCTAAAAAAAAAACTTAAAAAAGAAAGAGAGGCTCTTGGTGACAAGGCTCCGCCAAAGCCTGTACCCAAGACCATCGACAACCAGCGAGTGCCTGATGAAACCATAGTAGATCCTAACGATGAAGAGGTCGCTTATGATGAAGCTACAGATGAATTTGCTTCTTACTTCAACAGACAGACTTCTCCCAAGACTCTCATCACAACATCAGATAGACCTCATGGGAGAACAGTAAGACTCTGTGAACAGCTGTCTACAGTTATACCAAACTCACATGTTTATTACAGAGGAGGACTGGCTCTGAAAAAAATTATTCCCCAGTGCATCTCGAGAGATTTCACAGATCTGATCGTTATTAACGAAGATCGTAAAACAGCAAATGGACTTATTTTGAGTCACTTGCCAAATGGTCCAACTGCTCATTTTAAAATGAGCAGTGTTCGTCTTCGTAAAGAAATGAAGAGAAGAGGCAAGGACCCCACAGAGCACAAACCCGAAATAATACTGAATAATTTTACAACACGGCTAGGTCATTCAATTGGAGGAATGTTTGCATCTCTCTTCCCCCATGATCCTCAGTTTATTGGCAGGCAGGTTGCCACATTCCACAATCAGCGGGATTATATTTTCTTCAGATTTCACAGATACATATTCAAGAGTGAAAAGAAAGTAGGAATTCAGGAACTTGGACCACGGTTTACCTTAAAATTAAGATCTCTTCAGAAAGGAACCTTTGATTCTAAATACGGGGAGTATGAATGGGTCCATAAGCCCCAGAAAATGGACACAAGTAGAAGAAAATTCCATTTATAAAGTACTAAGGGAATAATACTGGATTTTCCTTAACAAAACTATCTTGAACTTGGTAAATTATCTGGGACAACACCCTCTTCCAAATGGCATTACTGATTTCATAAACTTTTCATATGTGGACAGAAAACTAGGTGCCAAGAATTACCACTATATGTTTATATAACAAATACCAATAAAATTCATTTTGGTAAGGATGAAAAAAAAAAAAAAAAGAAAAAAGGGTTTAGCTCTGAGAAGGAGGCAGGGGGTGGATCCGTGATTGACCTAGGCAGCATGACTTAGGCCTACATCAAAGGCTTTTTCCAAGCCCCACCACATTCCAGGAAGAAGATAAGAAAATAATGGGAGCCATCCAGCATAGACTCCTCCCCTCCCCCCACCCCAGGGGGGAAATGCAGGCACAAGGACCACCTAAAACAGGTCCAGACAAGTACGGATCCCTTCCCTTCCTGACACCAATCAAAGCCCCCTCTCCACAGCTCTCTCATGGCAACTCGGTTTCTGGGGGGACCCCTCCCTTCTCGAGTTCTCTTTTTCCTCCACTCTCTAGTAAGAGATCCCCTGCTTTGCTCTACCTACTCTCTCTGTCCGCGACTCTAATCCTTCCTCAGTGTGGGACGAAAGCTCGTCTGTCACTCGCTACAAGTGTGGGCCCGATCACCCCCGTGCCACCGCCTTCTTGCATCGAAAATATGGACACGGAGACCAGCAGTTAGCGTAATGGCTATGTCACTGGACTCCCACGTAGTGGACCGTGGTTCGCGTCCCGGACCCGGTGGCTTGAAACTCACGCCGGGCGCGTGTGCGTGCGTGCGTGCGTGCGTGCGTGCGTGCGTGCGTGCATGCGTGCCCAAGATCCCGAGGGGAGAGTGGAGGAGAAGGGATTGCGGCTGCTGCGGCGTGGCCATCCCCCCTGGGGGGTGATTTCTCACTTTCTGTCTCTCTGTCTCTCTCTGTCTGTCTGGCGAGTGCACGCACCCTATGGCAAATAACCTCTCCAAAAAAGAAAAAATAATTTAAAAATAAAGAAAGAAAAGAAAACATGGACACGTAAACTTTGACTTAATAGGTACTATTTTAAGACTCAGGAAGGAAAAATTCCAGCATCTCATTCCTATTAGTTCACATAACAGATTCTGTCTCTACCATGTAAACGACTTTGAAAAGTGTAAAAAGGATGACAGGTTTAATGATAAATCTGGACTCTATTTAGATGTATCCCATGCATTTGGTCATCATCATTCTTTCTGAATTATTTAGGAAAGCAAGGCTACTGGAATTGTTTTCCTTTGAAGTCAAGGAAACCCTAGCTATCCCTGTATTAGTTAGTCTTCTTTTATTTATTTATTTATTCATTCATTCATTCATTCATTCATTCATTTATTTTTCTGAAGATGTCGATTCCACGAGTGAGAGATAGATACATACACACAACACGCCCAGCAACTTTTTTTTCCCCAAAGAATTATTTTATTTAACTTCATTTATGTATTTATGTTCATTTGACCACCCACCAGAGAGGGAGAAAGTGAGAAAGGAAGCCACCAGGTCCGGGATTCAAACTGTGGTCAGCCATGTGGGAGTCCGGCGCCCTTAACCACCACAGCACTTGCCAGCCCCAGTCTTCTTTTATGTAAAGACGGAATTACTGGACACAAGAGGGGTTTCTGCATGTGTTCTAAGGTTTTTGGTCACCCAACGGGCTATATGGCATCCACCCACAATGGCCATTTGGGTCCTTGATTCCCATGCTAAAAATTCTGAAGACATTGTAATGTATATGTAGTCACTTAAAATTAGTTTACATGGGGTGTGGCCGGCAGGTGGCATGGTGGTTAAGGGTGCCAGACTCCCACATGGTCAACTGTGGTTCGAGTCCCAAACCTGGCGGTTTGTTCTCTTCTCTCTCTCTCTCTCTCTCTCTCTCTCTCTCTCTCTCATCAAATTAAAATATAATAATAACAAATGGAATTAAATAAATAAATGGTTCTGCAAACAATGAAAGTAAAATTAGTTATACTGCAGATTTTATCCAAGGTCTGTAAATTTGAATAGCATTTAACCCTATGCTAATCTATGAGCACACATTTCAATAGATTTTGTACCATATAGAGACTAGTATATGTATAAATACAGTGCATCATACCCACGCATACGCACCCATCCACGATAGAGAGTCAAAGAATCATCGCTCTGATTTTAGAACAATAGTCAAGAGATCGTAAAACTCATTCCTTTCAAAAGAAAGAACAGTATGATTTAAACCGTACCACCACCGTGCGCGGGAATGAGTCAGTCTGCCCACCCGCACATAAAGTCTCTCATTCCATGTTAGAGAAAGCAGGTGAGGAAACCTGCACTGTCAAGACATAAAGAATACGGACCCAAATGGATACGAAGGGAATAGGAAATGGTAGAAATCTCTCGTCCTACCTACTTGACAAAGTATGTAGCTGGCTCGGGCCCCAGTTCCCAAGTCTACTCCCCTCAGACAGGCGACTTGCATGTCGTGCACATAACAAGTAAAGAAAGTCAATGTTACACAGCAATTCGCATAGAACCTCGGGTGACACGTCCATTCATTGTATAAAAGTCCATCTCCGCACCCCAAAAGCCAGTGATGCATGAGTTATGTATAAAGCCGTGTAGAGTAGAGTTCTAGACCTGAGAGAAAAAAATCCCTAAAGGGACACGCCTGAAATAATCCATTGATTGCCCTTAGTAAGAAAATCAAGAGAAAGGCTTTAGGCGACTAAAACGTTGCCATGAAAACACAGGCTCTAAGAGCGAAAAGGAGGCTTTAAAAATGCATGGGGGGGGGGGG